CCATGCTGATCTGGTGGTAGCCGGAGTAAGCGTCAAGGAAGCTTAACAACTCGCATCCTGCTGTTGAGTCCACGAGTTGGTCTATTCGAGGAAGAGGGAAATGGCCCTTGGGGCACGCCTTGTTGAGATCGGTGAAGTCGACGCACATTCTCCACTTCCCATTGGCCTTGCGTACCATTACTGCAATGGTGAGCTACTCGGGGTGGAGAACCTCTCTGATGAAGCCAGCTTTGAGAGGTTTGTCGAGCTCTTCTCGTATGGCCTGTTTTCAGTCGGGTGCGAATCTTCTCAGTTTTTGTTTAACTGGCTTGGCGTCGGGTCGCACCATCAATTTGTGCTCAATCACCTCCCTGGGAACTCCCGGCGTGTCGTACGGTTGCCAAGCGGACACATTTGCATTGTCGCGAAGGAAGGCGATGAGCGCGAGTTCCTATTTGTCACCCAGTGTAGCCCCTATCCTGACCATCTTGTCGGGGTTGGAGCTAGACAACGGGATTATCTTGATAGCACCGTCTGGCTTTGACTTTTTGCTGGGTTTGCTCACTTTCTTGGGCTGCTCGGTTGTGGTGGGTGGGTTGGGAGTATGCTCAACCATGTCGAGGCTCCGCTTGTCACACTGCACTGCCAATTTAGCATTGCCCTGGATAGTGATTGTCCCTTTTGGTCCTGGCATTTTGAGTAGAACAATGTCGAGGCTCCGCTTGTCACACTGCACTGCTCAACCATGTCCGTTTGCTCAGCGGCAAGGACTTCTCCCGAGGGTTTGCGCTTCCCACTTTTACGACTTCTCTTCTTGCTTGATTCTGGTGCATCCTTGTTACTCGACCTCTTCTCTTCGCTCGTCTTGCTCTTTCCCTCTTCGCGTCTTAATGCATCATCTGCATGAGCGCATCTGTCGATGATCTCGAACAACTTTTGGGCAGACGTGATTCGTCGTGTCGCCAGCTCCTGGGTGGTGTATCGATCTCGGACACCTGATTTGAACGCGCGGATAACAGAAGCATCGGTGATCTCGGGGATCATATTCTTGCACTCATTGAAGCGCCGAATATAGTCCCTCGACGATTCACCTTGGTTCTGAGTTAAAGCGTGTAGGTCGTCCTCGATTGCGTGGCGTTTGTAGGTTCCCTGGAAGTTGGCGACGAACTGCTGCCACAAGTCTTCCGATGATGAGATCGAGCGGGACGGGAGATGGACCAGCCATGAACGAGTAGATCCCTTCAACGCAGCTGGCAAGTAATTTGCCAGCATGTTGTTGTCTGCGCTAGCGGCATAGAGGATTGTGGAGTAGACTTGCAGAAATTCTTCCGGATCTGTGCTTCCATCGTACTTCTCTATTGCACCTGGTCGGAACTTCTCGGGCCACCGCACATCTCGAAGTTCGAGCGTGAATGCCCTGCATCTGTGCCTTATAGCAAAAGGTGGCCCGCGATGTTGACGTAATCGAGGAGGCTGGTCTGATGATGATGATGACGACGATGAGGGGTTGCTGGGTTCGGGAGCCCGGCTTCTCGAACGATGATCTCGTCCTCGATCTCGACCGAGAGCGGGAGATCGGGAGTTTCGATCTCGTCGGTTGCCACAGTTTTGCTCCTGATCTCGGCGATTAGCTCCCTGATCTCGCCGGTTGTCATTATTAGCGTCATTGCGGTGGCCGCTGTGGGCCCGTCGATCCTGATCTTCATTTGGGGCGCCTCCTCGACTGTCGTCCCTTCTCTGCCGCGGAGGAGTGTGGTGGCGATGTCGTTGGGCGGCGGTGTTATCGCCACGGCGTGAAGGAGAACGACACCGGTTGTTGTCGCGATCTCTCCTGTCCCTCCGCCGATAGTCCAAATGATCGCGAAGATCGCGGTTCGCGGGACGCGGTGGAGTAGGATCTCGTCTTCCTCGGGGTGAGTGGTCACCGGAGGGACGTGTCCCGTTGGGATTTTCTCCGTTTGCATCTCCTGCGGTTGGTCCTCCGTCCTCATGCTGCTCCGGGTTGACAGCTGCTTCGGCAAATGCGACATTGAGGTTAGTCATTGTCTCTCGCAGCCGCATAGCCCATTGGTTGACGTCGGGGTTCGTGACCGGGTCGAAAGGACTTTCACTCAATATCGCATCTAAGGTTCGTAGCTGCTGAGTGAGTGTTCTCGCTGCTGTGGACGCGCTTGTTTCAGTGTTGTCAACCACGTTTACATCCCGTGGTGACTCCGAATAGGACTCGTAGTCTTCCAGGAGGTGTAGCACAAATGGTTCATTCGGATTAGCTTCGACATATCCTACGAACCGATCTGATGTCGTCATCGCATCTGGGTCCCTGGGAGCACATGGAGTTTGAACTCGCAGTTGTTGGACACGATGATGCGGTGGTCTCAAAGTTGTGAGAAAGATCCTGCAACTTGTAAGGTCGTGAGACCTAGATTTGTGAATTGGGCGTTATGTGACTCCTGTCGGTGAAGTGCGTTGAATCCCACACTCCTAGCAGGCGTAGAGTTCAGCTTTCACGTGGAGTATCACCGGGCAATCCTCGAGAATATACTTGGATGTCAGCTTTTAGGTAGTATTCCTTGTCAGCTCTGGTTTTTGTACAAGGGACGAAATTCGGCCATTTGAGGATTTTTCCCAAGTGTTGGGACCGTCGATGTTCCGTTCTCCACTTGAGTGGGAGGAATTGTCGGCGGGGCATCGTTTCTCGGAGTCGTAACCATGCCTCTCTCGTTCCCGATAGTGTTTGGGCCAGTCGAGATCGGTGTGACGATATAGACCGAAAAGACGATGGATCCGACTTGATTCCACACCAGCGATCTCGAGGCAGGGATTCCTTGATCGACGCCAGTGTTGGAACTGTTGTCGGGGAGCCTTGAAGTCATACCGGTAGATCCTTGAGCACCAAGTCCCCCTACCTGGCGCGCCACTGTCGACGAGTGATACTCGCGGACCGGATGAGTAGAGTATTGGGGTATGTTGGAACGAGGGTCTACGTAGTTCGACATCAAGCAGACAAAAGACAAAGTTTATACTAGTTCAGGCCCCTTATCAGGTTATAGCCCTAGTCCAGTTTATATGAGATTGATTATGATGAGAACAGATGACAAAGATACTAGTCGAAATAGAGGGTATCGACGAGATCGTAGTCGAGGGGTTCGACGAAATCTCCCGATGATTTGGCTCCGCATAATCTGGCTTCGTAAGCGTTGGTGGGTGTGTTGGCGATTGAATTCGATGTCTTGAACCCTTCCCAGGGGGTCCCTTTTATACCGTGGATCATCTTGATCCCCAAGAAAGGTTTGACGATATCGGACCTAGTATGGTATTACAGAAAATCTATCCCTTCCGAGTAGGACTTTGGAAATCACTTGACTCGTAGAGATATTTTCCATAATTCGAAGTGGTTTCCACGTGACATTTACGGGAACAATCCGTATGCGCGAAGGTATACCTTATCGATATATTTCATAAGTCGTAGGATAGGAGGTATGCCTTATCTGTAACCCTGACACATAAGGTTTTGTTTAAGTACGGATAGAATGCATCCATTTGGAGAGATGCGCAGCGGTCATTGCACTTGGCCTGTGACCATGTGTATCTAAAACCTTTCCCCTTAGTTATGCATGAAGCGGAAGTACATCATGATGCCGATTATTATTCAAGGCCCAAAATAACCTAGTAAAGACATTGATGTGTACTTAAAACCATTGGTTGAAGATCTGAAACTGTTATGAAAGAAAAAAAGTTGTCATTGTGTGGAATGAGGACAAATATGAGCAATTTAACCTACGAGTATTGCTGTTCATAACCATTAACGATTGACAATCAAACAAGGAGTATAAGGCTTACACCCACTGTATGGATGATACTGACAGTACGTATTTTGAAGATAAGGCAGACCACCATACTAAGCCTAAATATCGTAACGGAAAAATCGTGTTTGCTATGGTGAAAGATCTGACAATAGTATTTGGAAAAGTGATCCGGCAGCCAACCTATAGCAAGTGAAGATGGTCATGTGGCGATGTGGAAGAAGAAGTCTATTTTTTAGGAGTTACCCTATTGGGATGTCTTATAGGTCTGCCATGCAATCGACGTGATGCACCTCACTAAGAACTTGTGCGTTAACCTGCTAGGCTTCCTAGGTGTATACTGGGAAGTCTTAGGGGCGTTTGTAAGATGCCACATGCGTCTTATGAGCGTTTGTAGGAGGTTTAATCGACTTTTAGTATATAAATATAATAGAAAATAGATGTGCTAAATTTATAGCTTTTTACCTTTTCAAGATAATGTAGGGGCTTTCTAGCAGCAACCAATGTCTATACATGGAACATAAGTTTTCCAAGTAACAGAAAATTTCTTGCATACACTTCTTGCAACTGCCAAAACTGGGACTAACATACTGGCTGGTCCATGTAGGCCCTGTTTGGAATCTAGGATTTTCAAACGAAATTCTATCAGTGGCTGGCTTGTCGATGAACATGCTGTAGAAATTTGATATTATATAAGATAGGAATTGACAATATAAATTATATAGAAAATATTCAACATAGTAATATTTGCCCGGGCTTTAAGATTTTTCTAGCTATGTCACTGCTGCAGATTACTAGATATAGTACTTGTTTACAGTGTATTTACATACGGAACGACAGGTTGAGGTCCAGACAATAGTATATTATACTATAAATAAGTATGTTGCACTACCTAGGATATATCATCTTTCCTTGGGAATATAGGATCCATATCCCAATTGTTGCAAGTCATCACTTGTTTTTAGTTTCTGTTTTCATGTGTCGTGGAAAACAAAGTTCAAATTGGATGTCCTTGTTCTTTCCTTCCTTGTGACAAATCTTTGTCTGTCCTGCTGTTTAATAATGTACATTTAATGTGTGAAAAATATCTTAGACCATCTGTCATTACTTTTAAGTATATGATGCTGAGAGTGCAAACAAACGATGGATACTTTACTGCTAAAAATAGACACAGTATGTCACTCTAGCTTACTTTGTCAAACGCAGCCCTTCTATACAAGTTAATTTGGATAGGATGCAAAAATGAGAGGACATCCCTAAAGGGATGCAAGTCTTTCCTGCTAGGATTAATTAACAGAGTAGCCAATAATTCCATAGAGCTTAGTTATATGTTCCAAGAATGTGATGTGAACAAGGGGCATTAAGAAAATGATGACTATACTACCAGCCAAGTTGTACGAAATCAACTGCAACTACGCATATACCCAACTCCTTAAAGTTTCTTGATCACAAGAAAAAAAAAACTTAAGAGGACATCGATGAGGGTAACCTTAACCACCAGCATGACCACAACAGCACCATTCTAATGGGCAACGTCTGTGTTGGCACAACCTGTAGTTTGTCGAAGAACGGCCTTCTTTGCGCCATCTGGCGAAATGGATCAACCACCACTTCCTCCACCCCATCCCACCCCACCATCTCGCGCTCTGTCCCCGTCGTCCAGCCCTCTTCCCCCTCTTCACCGACCTCCGAGCCGCCACCGCCACAGCAGCAGCTCACCTCTACTGCCCCTCCAAGACCAATTGTTATCTCTGAGCCAGTGAGAAAGCCAACTCAACCACATCCCAGGCCGAAACAACCGACCAAACCGCCGCCGTCATCGAGCACCCAGCCACAGCAGAGGCATCAGTCTCAGGTCAAGAAGCACATCTCCAGCGCCGGGTTGCAGGTGGAGTCAGTGCTCCAACAAAAGGCGGAGAATCTCAAGGATAGGTACAACCTTGGGCGCAAGCTTGGGCAGGGCCTGTTTGGCACAACATACTTGTGCGTGGACAAGGCAACCAGAAAGGAGTATGCGTGCAAGTCGATCGCAAAGCAGAAGCTCGTCATTGATGACGACGTGGAGTTCATCCGCCGCGAGATCAGGATCATGCACCACCTTGCTGGCCATCCAAACATCATCTCCATCCGGGGCAGCTACGAGGATGCCATGGCGGTGCACATTGTTATGGAGCTCTGCACTGGCGGTGAGCTATTCGACCGCATCATCAGCAAGGGATATTACACAGAGAGGCAGGCTGCTGAGGTTGCCCGCATCATCGTCTCTGTCATCGAGTCTTGCCACTCTCTCGGTGTCATGCATCGCGACCTCAAGCCCGAGAACTTCCTCTTCGTTAGCAACGAGGAGGATGCGCCACTCAAACTCATTGACTTTGGCCTCTCCATATTCTTCCGCCAAGGTAAATCAATCAATCAGTTATGACACCTTCACCATCGAAGAACTGCATTGTGTTAGTCGTTGCAGGCGAGACGTTCACTGACGTGGTTGGGAGCATGTATTACGTGGCACCAGAGGTGTTGAGAGGGAATTATGGGCAGCAAGCTGATGTGTGGAGCGCTGGCGTCATCATCTACATCCTCCTTTGTGGCGTACCACCATTCTGGGCTGGTAGGCACACACTATTGACACACCACTTTTCACTTGGTTTCCAGCATGTATCTTGAACTATGACACAAAATTGCTTGTTACCGCCGTATTTTCACAGATACAAAGCAGGGGGTATTTGACAAGGTGCTGCATGGCATGCTAGAATTTGACGCGGATCCGTGGACAAATGTGTCGGAAGGTGCCAAGGACCTGCTTCGGAAGGTCCTTGTCCGGGATCCTAAGGAGCGGCTCACAGCGCACCAAGTACTACGTGTGTTCAGTCCTTCCCCCTCTTCTTCTTTAACTGACTGCAACAGCCATTCCAGGCAATCTAACACTACTATATTGCTAGCAGGCCATCCATGGTTGGAGATGTGCAGCAATGGCACTGGAAAAACAACTGAACTCAACGTTGAACACTTGTACGAGAGGGAAGAGATGTACTACAAATGATGAATGATGTATATGTCAAGACATGGTATGTGGTTTATATAGAGTAGAAGATAGAGATGAAAAAGAAGGAATGTGATACAAGATCAGTCATATCCTTGAATCTCTTTAACAACAATACGGTCTAACATTCCCCACTATCCAATCATCAGCAATGTCAATGCTTAGGCTAGAGTAGAAACCAATAAGAGTGTCCAATATAGATAGCCCTTACGTCGTAGTTGAGGTACCCAAAGTAAAGAGTGTTCAATATAAGAAGGGTCTTTCCCTGATTGCTATGGCAAAGATAAATAGTATTGTGCATTTTCTGGCATTTTTAACCGTTAGATCTGGAATGAACCACTTAGATCAAAGTATTACATTAATTCGATATAGTATTTTTTACATGTTGCAGGAAAAGTGACCCTCCAATTTTTTCATGGAGAAGGAACATAATTGGTTTGAAATTAGTGGCCTAGAATAGTTTATTATGACTCCTTGCTACTGTATAACTAAAACAGGGGCAAGATAATTTTAAATGGAGCTCGACTACTAATGGGGAGTTCACGATGAAATACTATTGTCTAGCACTACTCCATAGTGATGTGCCTAATTTAAATATATGTCTCTGGAATTTAAAAGTATATCTTAAAGTAAAGATTTTCCTTTGATATTTACGACAGGGAGTTGTTTTAACTAGGATAATCTAGCTAAACATAACTAACATGGTAAACAAAATTGTTATTTTTGTCAGAATAATGAGACAATAAGACATTTATTATTTGAATGCCATTTAGCCCATTTCGTTTGTTATATTATACATGTCGAGCTAGCAATCCCTCCACCCCCATAGTGTTTCGCATATGTGTTACTAGGTGGCTTTGAAATGTTCACAAGGATTTCAGAAGATATGGTCTTTTAGGAGTGGTTGCTACTTGTTGGTTGACATGGTTATGCAAGAATGATGTGGTTTTTGATAGAAAATTTGTTTCCTCTTCTTTGCAGGATATTTTCTCAACTATCCATTAGCTGTGTATTTGGGTTGTGCTACAAAAGCCTGTTTCGCATGATTTGGTTGTTGCGGCATGTGTACGCTCGGAGTTGGTGGTGAAAGAGTATTTTACCTCGCTAGGGACATGGCTGGCATTGCAGTCTTAGGATTGATGGTCTATAATACTTCTTGCACTCCTTTTTTATATAAAGTTGAGACTGCGTGTGTTTGGTTATATGCATCTTACTATATGTTCTCAGTATGATTGCATTATCTTGATGTAATTGGTTGAGTTCATTAAAGCTACATTTATCTATAAAAAGGAAAAGTGATCCTTAAATAGAGGATCTAGATCCTAGAGACAGATACAAAAATGATGTATTCATGAAATCTTGTTCTTGTGTGTGGTTCTATGACACTACTCCGGAATACGTTATTGTAGGTGACCAAAACATGTTTTCGAAGGCGGCCCAAACTTCACCTACGATCAAACTACACACTCCAAAAATCTACAAGACATTCATTTGATTTTCTTAGGCGGCCACCCTAAGAACCCCGCTTATGAAAATTGATTTTTGCAGGTGACACTATTAAGTCAACTGCTTGAAAAAAATGGCTTAAAAAAGAATGAAAACCAAGATCAAAATATCCTCCAATTCAGAAATTCAAATACAATTTCACCAGGACAAACCCAAACAAGATTTGTCAAATTCACGAAACAATTCAGCCAAGGACATTGATGGCATCCTCTTCAACTTCTTCGGCCAGCGTCTTGGAAAAGAAGCCGAAGAACACCATCGGCGTTAGTGAGGGAGGGCGGAGGCCGGTCGAGACAATGAGGACAGCCAAGAGCTTCCTGCTACGATTAGGATGATCGTGACGAATAAGAGAGGTTCTCGAGGCCCGGCTGCAGAGGATCCGGGCTCATGAGGCTCGGCGGCCCTCGGTTTTGCATGCCAAACTGATAAGTCCTCCATGGTATACATACCGTTTTAGGTTAGGTATTGATAGTCCTATTTACACTATTGTACTATCAAAACTGGAGAAAATGGGCCTGTGAAGCCATGTTAAAACCCACCTTGTGGTGTTGGTATGCTTGAAATGAAAAGTGGTTTGTAGAAGATCATAATACGGAGTTACGCCTATCCCTAATTTCGTAGTCACATCTAAGGATATTCCGTGTTTACTTTCAATCACTGCGTAAAACCAAATTTCTATTACACATTCTAGGACAAGCCTGGGACACTTCCTGGGGTTGCCGGGCAGTGGCAGACGAACTCCTTAGGTACTTCCATCTAAGCATGGTTACCTTGTGACCACGTGCATATTGGAACACCCGTAGCCAAGTAATTAGTTGGTTGAGGTAACCTCATTTGCCAAGGGTCATGGATCACTAGGATGGTGGCAGAGTATGTCCATGGGGTCCTGTGCACATGATGCCTTGTGCTTGTATGAGTTCTATATATGTTGGAAAACCACCCAAAGCTTGTTCAGGTTTTGTAGTGAATAATTTGTAATAATTAATAGGTCTCTTGCACTGCCTGGTATCGATCATCTTAATTGTGCAAACGATGTAGTTTTTTGTTTCCTTTTTCGCACATCATGGAAAACAATGTTCCAAAGGGATGTTCCTTCGTCTTTCCTTTCTTGTGAGTTGTGACAAATCTTGTTTGTTCAGTCCTTTGTCCTTATTTTTAAGCACAATTAATATCACAGCAAGTGATCAACCCATCTTTGGACCAATGAGCTGTACTTTACTGGTAAAAGCGAGAGACAATGAATGCCACTCTTACTCTCATCACAATATACCAGTATTGGTAGAAGTAAACTAGCAAAAACCACACAAGGAAAAACGATGGAGCTGCGTGGGGATTATAATAGAGGAGTTCCGTTATAATAATTCCGAAAGAGTTCCGTTATGATTCAAGTGTGTCATATCTGATATGAATGAGAGGCATTAGGAAAATGGTGGCTGTACTAGCATACAATTCATGTTCTATGAAATCACCTACGAACACAACCACTAGCTCGGTGACAAGATGGAACATTTCTTGTAGGAAGAAATTCTAGGTGGTATGGCCTGTACGTCACAAAGGATCGAGCTCTGCATGAACTTCTATGGGCACCACAAGACCACTGCCAATGACTCAATGATAGGCAGTTGCACAAATCTCAATGATTCTTTGGCCCAGCACAAATTTGATTGTTGTTCTGCACACTGTTGTGATTGTGTGACGGAAGCCTGTGTTTTAATTAATTAGGAGGTCTGTTGACTACAGATTTCAAGCTAGCTTATGTTATTATTAATTCGTGTTGTGCAAAAACATCCCTACACCCTTGTTCAAGAGGATAAAATAAAACTTGTGTTCTCCTTGAACTTTAGAAATGCTGACGATTTGCATTGCTCTATTCAGGTAATACAGAAAGATTCAGAGACAACATAATAATAAGGAAAGCAAATGCGCAGCTGAGTTGAGTTGAGATGCATGAAGCGCATATGAATCATCTGGTAGTATATCACAAGCTAAAGAAAGCCTATCTGCCATGAAAGATGTAACTACAAGTTTCACTTCTACTATTTCTGAGGGAGGAACTACAAAGTTCTTGCATGTTTCCTTCTTCAGGAACGGAGAGTTGGAGAGCAGAAGCTCTGCTTGGTCTTCAGCATCCATCAGTTTTGCACTTTGCAAACAGATTTTGTTTGAATTATTAACATTTACATAACAATACTCACCTTCCACTCTCAGCATCAATGATTTTCACACTTATTCACCACCTTGTCTGTCCTGCTGTCTAATAATTATATATTTTCTTTCATTTATTGAAACTATTTATGTTCCTTGCGTTGAGAAGTATGGGCACGATGCAGAGATTGTAAATAAACATCCTTATATATTTATCACCGCATCTTTTGACCAATGAGTATTACCCATTCTTGAGAAAGTACTGAGAGATTTTCTACTGTAAAATTGGTACCTTCAAATACTATCTCGAGGTAGAAAAAATAGTGTAAAATTTAGGTACCTCGAGATACTTATTTTGCAAGTAAAGAAAAAGAGAATGTCACTCCTACTCTTCATCACAATAGAACTGATAGTACTGTAGTGGTAGAAACAAAGTAGGCACCCACACATGAATAAATTGATCTGGGAATTTTAATATAGAAATCGAGCTCGAATTTTGCTATAGAGGATACAAGAATTCCAGACAGCCTGGCTATGTCTCGAGAGTGTGGTATGAATTGGAGGCATCAGGAAAATGGTGGCTGTACTAGCGTACCAGTCAAGTTCTAGAAAGCAACTATGACTACCACATATTTTTTGATCACAAAGGGCAAAAATTGGTTATTGGCAAACATTCCAGGTGGCACAATCCAGCAGAGCTATCTTAGCTCCACAAGCACTTCTACGTGCAAAAAACCGCATATACAGGCACTGGCAGAGCTAAAAAACTTTTAGAGCCCAGACAAATATTACTACATTGAGTATGTGTATTGCAAAAACTCTATTTTCAACCACTACAACACCAAATTTGTATTACACATTCGCAAATTTGTCTGGCAGTGGTGCCACTATGCAAGAATCAACTCCTTGAAAAATTCTATCTGATTATGGCTCCTATCTGACCACATACAGACTGAAAACACCGCTGCTAATTACTAAGTAATTACTCCTTCCGGTACTAAAACTATTGATGTTATATAGGCTTGGAACCAGCTGCTAAGTAATTTACTCCCTCAGGCACCAATATTATTGACGTTTCAGGCTTGGAACCAGAGAATGCTAATTGTTGACATTTTTGTTCAGCATGTAATCTTGGACTGGTTGACCCTGAATGCATGCAATTAAAAAATGTCTCAACAATAGGGAATCGAACGCACTAGATATATACATAGAGATGTAATTACAATTAGCACAGGATCATCTTTAATATGGACAAAATATGGATAAACACTCTAATAAATTACTTCTTGATATGTGAGATCATGTTCGAAACGTCAAAAATTTTATAACCGGAGGGAATATATAGTTTGTTAAGTTAACCTCATGTGCCAGAGGGTAATGGATAGCCATGCCAGTGAAAGTCACGTGCGTGTATGAGTTCTTAGTGTTGGAAAGCCCAAACATTCGTTCGGGCTTTACATTTGCAGTGAACCAAGAAAAATAATGAATAGTAGTATGCAGTAATAAATAGGTCTACTGCATTGCCTGGTATCAATCATATTCATTGGCGCAAGTGATTTAATTCTCTTTTTTTTTTTGCTGTTTTTGCATATCGTGAAAACAATGTTCCAAAGGGATGTTCCTTGTGAAAAATCTTGTTTGTTCTGCTCAGTCCATTTGTCCTTAGCAGGGTTCAAAATTCCGGAACGAAATTTTTGGTCATTTCGGACCCCAACCCCCGGTACGATATTATTTTAGCTGAAATTTTTATTTTTTTTTTTTGAATTTGGTAATATTTTATTTAAATTTGACCTCCGATAGAATCGGCCAAACCAAAAAATTAAACCCTGATCCTTATTCCCTAAGTGTCGTACAATTAATGCACAGACTGCAAATAAATAATGGATGTTTTATCCTTATATATACATCACCCAGTCTTTTGCCCAATGACAATGAGTAGTTCTTCACTGTTTAAAAAGATAGAATAAATGCCACTCTTTACTCTTCCTCACAACTCAATAGATAGTATTGGTAGAAGCAATCTACGAAGCTAAACCACATAACTTAAGGAAAGACAGTTGAGACTATAATAGAGGAGGCAAGAATTCCAGAGTTTTGTTATGACTTGATAGTGTGATATGAATAAGAGGCATCAGGAAAGCTTCTACAAGCATGGTCTTGATAAGACGCAAAAGATCTTGCTGGCAGACATTCTAAGATGTCTGGCCTGTATGTCACAAAGTCTCGTGAAGTCTAGAAAAGTTGTCGAGGATGAAGCTCCACATGAACTCTTACATGCACAAGACCACAGACAATGAGAAATTTTGAGAGAAGTTTCTTTGACCAATCACAAATCTCAAAGTAGTTGTGCATACTTTTGCGAATGTGAAGGAGATTTGTATTGTTATTAATTGATAGTAGGTTTGTTAACGACAGATTTCAAGGCTATGTTAACATCAAATCATGTTGTGTGTTGTCGAATGACAACCGCGTCACGTCGAAGAACATGGAAATTGGTTGGATGTTTTGAATAGTAAAACAATATATTAACTTGATAAAAATTTTTGAGGATCCCCTCATTACATGGTCCAAGGGGGCTATTTATAATCCTAGACCAGAGGCTTACACCTCCTAGGGTTTAGGTTGTACAGGGAAATTTACATGGATACCCTTGTGAAAGGGACATTAGTGAGGGCACACAGTGTCCTTTACACTTTTGGGCTCTAGATGGGCCAACTTGGTCTGCCTGGTTATGACGGAAGGGGCTTCCCTGGGCTGGAGGGCCCTCTGGTCCTCTCCTTCGCATGGATCCTAGTCCAGGCGGAGCCTTCGTGCTTCGTCACATGCCATTCGCCCATATAACCTTCGCCTGCGTAGTTCTCTTGATTGCAAAGCTTGGATTTAGGTCTTTGGCCTTTTGCTTGCGTGCTTCGCCACATGGCTTTCGACATATGGCTTCGCCTTAGTCGAACCTGATGGTCTTGGCTTGGTTCCTCATTGGTTAGGCGGTTTCGGCAGGTTCGGTTGAAGGTCCTCGTGGCATGCCTCCAACATTGTGCAAAAACGTCCATGAATCCAAGAGGATAAAACTTATGTTCTGCTGGAATTTTTGAAATGCTAAAGATTTCATTTGCTTTATTGAGATAGTACAGAAAGATGCAGACAACAAAACAAAAACAAAAGCTTAGCAGAGTTATGGTGCAAGCACAGATGAATTAACTAATATATACAAGAATGAATAGGAGCTAAATCATGTAGTAAATCACAAGCTAAATAAAGCCTATCTGCCATGAAAGATGCAACTTCATGGTTCACTTTTACTATTTTTGTGGGAGAAACCACATAGTTCTCGAGGATCCTTCAGTTTTGCACTTCATAGACATGTTTTGTTCGAATTATCAACATTTACATCACACGACATTAATCACCTTCACTCTCGTCAACAATGAATTTTACATTTTTTACTGCCCCGTTCCACCTATATTTTAGTGGGTTGGCAGGCACCAGTGTCTAAACAAGGTCAAGTGGAATGAAGATTCTTCAGACATCCCCTAGACATGTTTTTGCATAGAACAAAAGATTTCTGAGTAACAGTAAATTTATTGCATACATCTCGTTGTGACAAATCTTTTTTTTCTGCTATTTAATATTTTAGTCAGTACTAAAAAAAATGTTTTTTCATGGCACCACACCTTTTATTTTCTGGCGATTGGCTCCCGCCTATGAAAATGAATTGGACAAAGATTATTGTAGATTCTTCTTTATCCTTATATATATGCATCAGCTCATCTTTGGACCAATGAAAACTACATGTAAAAAAGAGAGAATAAATGTCACTCATCAGATTGTATTGGTAGAAGCAAACTAGGAAAGCCCATAGAAGGAATTAAAAATAACTAGGAAAGAAGCCCGCGCAGATGTGCGGGCATTTTGTTTAATGTTTATATCAAAAGCGTTTCCTAGATTCAAACATAAATCACTATGTCCCGGTTATATATAAATTTGCCTAATATCGCCACTACTTATTATTATTATTATTTTATTTTATTATGGATACTTATTATCGTTCTTTTGAAACCTGAGTGATTATTTAATAGATGAAATTGTATTTGTAACATCAAAATAAGAACAATACATCGTTAATCGACTAAAAAAATTATCTCCACTACTAACCTAACTGTTCATGTCGATCTGACTTATTTCCAAATCTATGTATAAATATTCCAATAATATTTTATCAAAAAAATATATTATAACAATATCACTTCTATGAGTTAATAGGATAATACTGTTAAAATTTGATATGAATACCCATCTAACGGATGAAGCCGAACATAACTACCAAGGCTTTCTTCCTCGATACCTTGAAACATGGGTCACATATCGACATAGTCGTGCCCATCAAGACCATCGTGGAGAACAGTTTTAACGGCTAATTCACTATTAGTACCCTCATAAAGGATTGCATCGTTAAGTACCCATGGTGGCTTAACTCATCCAAATGTATGCCTTTGCTATATCATGGTAGTATAGCAAGCTTTATTATCTATGCTTGGCACCCTTTTGAGAATGGAAAAAGAGAAGACGGAGGTGATTACAATAATCCTTTTTAAAGTTTGAGTTGTTTTGTGGTATATAGTAGACACAATTTGTTTATAGTGTAAATCAATATTACTCAAATTTCAATAATACATATACAATATTCTTATTTGAAAGTGAGTGAGGTTATCATGTTAGTAGAGTGTATGACATACATCCATCAACTATGCCCGACACATCGGAATTCCTGAAGTATAAGAAAATATATTATGGGTGTTACTGGATTGTTTACTTGTTGCCAAAACTATATGACAAACAAAAAACCTACATATATGACCATAGTTCTCATGATGGATTAAGGGGTTGTAGTATAGCCATATCACTCGCTAGAAGTATTTTTAATAAAGTTTATCATGTCTATGTATCATGTGTGCTTCTCACTTTTCAAATACCAATCAAATAGTTTTGAAAAATTCAAAAAAAATATTTGAAAATCGTAATATCTCACATATTAAAATTAGATAAGATCTACTTGAAAAAAATATAACTAAATTCTGTTGTTTTCATTTTTCATTTTTACATATGTAGATTCAAATTATTTGTCAGGTGATATTGTACACCATAATTATTTGAAAAATTATTATGACATTAATTATTATGTGCCATTATGTATTTATCAGTTAGCACTAACTACTATAGGTCAATAATAGTTCATTTAATTAAAGGAATACATCAGAATTATTGAAATTGATATATATTTAATAGATGAACACTTACAGACCATTGAATTCATATTACATCTTTGATCTAGTTTAACTGCGTATATTGGTTGGGTAATATTTTTTATATCATGGAAAATCATAGTTTAGAAACCATTGATTTTCTCTGATCATAGTATGTATGTATATTTTTAGCTATATATTTTTACATGTGTATATATGTTACTTTGCTTTTTCTTACATGGGAGATTTTGTTTTTTTTTTGGGGGGGGGGGGGTTGTTTTTTCAATAGACCTAATTTAACAGTATAAAATAACGGGTTCACTAATTTAAAGTTTGTAGAGTAATATATTTTAGCTTTATATCATAGAAAATGCAAAGGGTGATGGTATGGCTCACACTATTTTTTAATTTATAATAAAACATCAATATATAGATTTAAATTATTGATTTAATTGTCAAGAATATAAAGAACTAAATTAATCATAAAACCAACTTATAGTTTTCAAAAGTTAAAACATGCATGGAGCCCCCCACGCAGATGACACTGACCTAATTTAAAGTTCGTAGAGTAATATATTTTATCTCTATATCATAGAAAATGCAAAGGGTGAAGGCATATATATGGCTCACACTATTTTTTAATTTGATAATAAAACATCAATATATAGATTTAAATTATTGATTTAATTGTCAAGAATGTAAAGAACTAAACTGACCAAAAGTTAATACATGCATGGAGCCCTCCACGAAGATGACACTGACCGTGATAACCATGAAAGTCTACATTCAATCGAAGATATAAATCAAATGTTGTTTAGATTTTATTATGCCTAAGATATCTCAACAACCTAAAAATAAGAAGAGCAGATAATGCATATACGTGCTGGAGCCGTGAGCTGATGGTGATTATCTTGGCTGATCGTTTAGGCTGGTGCTTTTATAATTAATCTTGGCAGTGATTTTTTTTCAATCATAGTTATCAATATCTTTGGTTTTTATTTCGTTCGTACATCCGTATAGCTTTTGCCTTTTTTTTCCCGGATGAATTGTATGCAAGGATTTTCTCTTGTATGTGAATAGGATATTGGGAGTGAGAGATTATTTTTTATAGATTTAATAATTTAAACGGGATATTAGGAGGGAGAGATTATTTTTTATAGATCTAATAATTTAATTGTCTAAAATAATGGTCTCTTAGCTTTAAGTGAAAATCGAGGATTAAATGTTTTATTTTCTCTAAGAATTTATATGATTTTCTTTAATTTATTATAGCGCTACTTAGCAACGTAGAAGCGTTTGTAGAGTGACACATGGTGACGTGAGAGCGTTTGTAGGAAATTTAATGGACAGAGTATAACAAAATAAATGATAATTACATATTTCTTTAGTAAATAAACATATGTTCAAACACCAATAATATTATGGAGGTATATTAGGTAAAGCAAAATAATAAAAGAAGGTGTATAAGAAAAGGAAAAAAGTCTGGGGGGTATGTTACGTTCGTACTTGTACGTACGTACTTGCAGGCGGTGAGGGAGGCATACGTATGAGGGTCTATTTTTAATCTAATCTAATGGTGCAAAATTATGGACCCACCAATTTAAATGAAAATTGAGGGTCAGATGTTTCTAATATATTAAAACGCCACATGGCGACTTATGAGCGTTTATAGAATTGCCACGTGGCGGCTTAGGGAGCGTCTGTAGGAAGTTTAATGGATTTTTAGTATATAATAGATAGATAGATAGATAGAAGATTGAGATAGGAACTATAATAGAGGAGGCAAGAACTCCATAATTTTGTTACGATTCAAGGGAGTGATATGAATAGTAGGCATCGGGAATATGGTGGCCATACTAGCATGCACATCAATTGCATGGTATCTGAGATAATCTACGGATCCTTTGATCAGTGCTTTGCGCGTATCATCTGTATGTCACAAATCTTAGTCCTTTGTGTTGGAATTAATGAATGGGCCTTAGCTCACTCGAAGATTAATTCTTTGGAAAATCACAAAAGCCCACCTCATGGGATGGCATGCATGTGGAGTTTAGTACCACCTTGCTTATTCTAGGAGAGGGGGACCTCCTTAAAAGGGAGGATGTCCTCCTAGCCACTTGAAGCATGTGTGGTGGAGAGAAGAGGGGAAACACGCGCGCGCTCGCTCGCCTCGCCTGGCCTGGCCTGGCAGGGCAGGGCAGGCGGCGCGCGTGCATGACGTACGCGTCGAATGG